GAGGAGAGAGTGTAGGTAGATGCTACGCAAGTCTACCGGCACTATAAACCCCTGCGTAAGTCACCGTCCCTGCTCCCATTGCTGCTGCAACTGTGGGGCACACGGTGGACATCATCGAAACCGATGGTCGAACTGTCATATGCTAAGGGATCATTGCAGGATGTTGCCGAATCATTGCGACCGCATCGGGAAGGTTGCCCCATATTTCAGTTTCACGGTTTGAATAAATACTTTTCTTCAACCAACCTTCTTAGGGGCATGCGCAGTTTGGAGGGAGGCTCCCGGCGGTTGATCATGGTAGCAAAGGGGAAGTAGTGGCCACAGAATGGATGCAGCTTAAGTAACGTAGGATTTGGAAAATTTGTGTTAAGTGCCTTGTAGTTGCTTGTATCACAGAAGTTGAAGATTTTGGTCATTTTCGAGGGCCTTATATAGCAATGTTACCTATTACGATTTTGTGGATTGCTCCTCTGCCCGTTAAAGCTAGTCGTAATCTTGCTGAATACAGGGTCTCCTCTAATGGATCGAATGTTCAATTTACGGGCTTACAAACGTACCAAAAACAGGATCTCGTATAGCAATATTCCTTGACGAATTGCACTGAAGTTCCCATCGTCGTCGTTTTACAGCAGTGTGTGAAGGCTTCAAGTTACTCTTTATCCAAACCCTCAAACGTTTCTATGTTTCGACTTCTCGGAACTTAATTCATTTAACTTGTACGCGCGCTTCATAAAGACCTTGGCTGAATCTTCGAGAGACAGCGTCGTTCGTCTGTTCCTGTTAAATGACAGGAGGAATCTGCAGGGACATTCTTATAATTGACAAACGTTTTCTTGAAATTCCGCTTCGTCGGCAGCACCGTGGATGCCTTTGAAAACATATCATCGTCAAACATTGAACATCCCTTTGTCAATTTTTATACATAATCGTTAATAAACATGAAGACGATGCTTAGTCTCAGCGCTTGACCTTGTAGGGCTGCACAATCCATAGTTGTGCGAATTACTTACTGTTTCTCGGTAAAGACTACTTGGGGACGACAGGCAGGGAAGTTTTTGATCCATTTAAAAAGGTTGTCTCCAGTATCCATTGCTCTTAACATATGCGGGAGCCAGAGGGGCGAAGCGATTTATATGACCTACACTCAGTCAACGTAGGCGACATGAGGAGTTTGTTGTTTCATCGAGCGTCTTTATCCAGGTTTACGTTGCGTAAAGAAGTTTCGCTATGCGTGATCATCTTCTACGAACGCCGAGTTGCGCATGAGATATGAGGCTATAAGTCTCCAAATAATGAACCAGTTCCCATTCGATGGTCTTTTCGTCTCTTGAATTTGTCCTGAAACTTCCCCATTTTTCAGCAATTTGAATTCTTGGTCATCCATCTCTGTCCGATGTTACACGCCGTCGAAATAAATGGGAAATAAACCTAAACTTACAATTGCTCTTAGTCTGTGCGGATCATAATATTGGCGATACCATCCTTCCTCATAGCGGCTTTCAGGAGGTGGCCACAAGGAGCTTAACGAAGTAGCTAACTCAGTTTATTTGGGATTCCTACGTTGGTCGACTTCAATGTGTTCCTAAAATCAGTCTTCACCAGCGAAGCGGTTCGCAACCGACAGAGAAATGTAACCTGCTAGCAAGCTTACATCGAAAGATTAGTCATTTTCTGCTTCAAATTGTTTTTTGCTACTAAATTCTTTTCGGAAATTAACTTATTTTCTGTTAAGTGAACTAGCCACTTTCCGATGTAGTCTGCACCTTATAAATTAATGTAGCCTCGCAGAGATCTTGCTGGAAAGGGGAACGCCAATGTCCACGACTCTAAATGTTTGCGGTTGGGAATGGAGACCTGGACCTGTCAATCGGCAACCGACGCCTATAACCATTCGCTCACGAACGGACAGCCTGCAGAAAAAGGCAATATAAACTCAAAAAGGATCTTCTTCCGTTTGTTATCTGTTTTCGATTTTCCGTTTAAAGTAACCTTGCCAGATTGTCTACCGGACACCAACAAGCTTCTCCAAAGGCCTACGCCAACGGGTGCTAGCTACAGCCGAGGCAGTGGCTATACGGCTAGCCAATCCAGTGCTTTGCTGTCAGAAGACTCTGACACAGGCGCTCTGTTTTCCGTGGCCGACGCCGACCCCAACGTCGCCCCAACCTCCTGATGCCAGGGCGTGTGCACAAGGTACCCGACGTACTCACAGCCTATGGCCCCCTCTCCCTCGCCCCCTGAACCCAATGACCACGACACGCCGACCACGCCATAGCACGCCTCGTCATGCGAGTGGCGTGGGAACGATGGATGTTAATTGTCCCCGAATCATTTATAAATCATGAAATTCGCATAACTTAAACTTCGTTGTAA